CGAAAAATACTGATCCCCTTTTTTCACAGAAAGTTCTTCTAACTTTCTTTTCTTTTTGTCAGGAAGTTCTTCTAACTTTCTTCCCTTTGCTTTTTAAATTCGTCATAGATCATATGAGTGCAATCTTAGAATGAGAGGTACGGTGCGGCGTTTAGAATAAGTTAAGCGTGCGTGTGTGGGATCTCTTGCGATTAGTATTAAGTTAATGTACGTGTGTGTGTGATACAAGTTCTTTACTGGATTGTGGTAAAGAACTTGTATATGCGAGCCTATGAGCTATGTAGAGTTAGAACTCATTTATCCTTCTGATAAATGAGGTAGTTGCAATTGGAGGGTGGTAGGGATTTGGAGTTAGGGTGGGTCACTATAGTAGCAACCTCCACGTGGTGTGACCTGGTAATCGATATCGTTTTCTAAACATTTTTCTAGAAATGAACTTTAGAAAACGATATCGAGCTAATAGCTACGAATTAAATTATAATTTCATTCGTTCCACATTTCCTTTTACGAAATGTTTGGATTAAGTAAGCATATATTGTAAGTTCCACACTTATCCAAATCTAGAAAATTTACAAATTTTATAATAAAATACAAAACTTTGTAAAACTAGATGACAGCAAATAATACGGAAACCACAGAGTAAACCAGAGGCGACAGTCTCGGCACCTTTGATCTCCCGAAAACGCTGTGAATATATTTGTAATAAATTTTCTGTACATTACTAATATTGTCTTTTCAGGTATATTTTTCAATTTTACGGCGTGGAAAAGTTGAAAGGAAAAGAATATACCAAAATGATTGATCTGCAAAATATATTTGAGGAATATGTATTACGGAAATGATTGTTACAAATAACTTATAAGAAAATGAAAAACTATATTTCACAAGAAGTTACAGATGAATGTGTTGCAGAGATATGACAAAATATTTATTACAAATAAATTACTAGTGAATGTGCAATTTTAAACTATTCTTTTTCGACCGCCATACTTCTACACTACGCGCATGCGCACCCCCCATTCTTTTGATTTAGGCATTTAAATTGGTTGTGTCCTCTGTCTCTCTCTAGGAGGTGGGTTTTCTTGTCTACTGTCGCCTCTTGTTATATCTACTCTTTGATAATGTTTTGAATCCACTGAAAAGATATTTTTTTACGTAAAAACGCATCAACTTGAAAAATTGCAATTTCTATTGCAGTAATTTTGCACGTCGCCACTGGATGGCGCTAGCGATGCCGCTTCAGTCGGTGCTCGAGAAAATAATTCAAAATATATATTGGATAGATGCTTCCAAAATTCTTTTAACTTTTAAAATTAACTATTTTGCACTAAACTATTGTCTTTATATTGTTGTCTTATATTAAATCGCCGTAGTATTGCTTTCATGAATGTAAATTATTTTGCAATATTTAATTACCGTTCTGATGTAGTTCCCTGAATTACCTTTTAGAAGCATAAAGTATTATTTATCAGTTTCGAAAATGCCTTTTACAAAGTAAGAATATTGTGTTTCAATGCGTATATGCTATTACGAGTGTAGGGACTTATTCCTTTAGGCTGCCATTTTCCTAAAGGAAGCCAAATTTTGCACTTGAATGCGTGTACATATGGTATGCAGTTGCGTATAATAAGGCTTACACACAATGACTTTAGGATAATAGATGAAGTTTTCATTAAAATTTCTTGCACAATTTTGGGCACACAAATAAAATTTCCCTAGTAAGCAGGAAGTTTCAACATTCTAAATTGAAAAATATGCCGACTTCCTGAAGCGCCATAGGCGAATTTTCCTTTTCTAGCGCATTCATTGACCATGCCGTTTATCGCAATGGCGGTATAGATATCCCACAAAGAAGAAAGTGGATCTTCTGTAAAGTAAGTGAACATTATTTTTATTTTTTTTTTTACAGGCGTATGTTAAATACAAAGTAGTGCGTTTTTATGTGAAGACTCGATGTTAAATTTGTGTCATTGCAATGTTGCAGGATGATTACCATTTGAGTGGGCAAGGTCTAGTTGTACTTTAATAGACTACAGAATTCAGTTTCTTCCATATTGATCAGTGTATTAGCCAATATACTATAATCTTACTTATAAAAAGCAACAAAAGCTACATACCAATAATAATTATTACTCGAAGAATTTACCGCCTTAGAAGAATAGGACATCGAAAAATTCGCGGCAATCGTTCCCGACATCTTAGGTTAGAACGATTCAAATACTTTTTAATCATTTTATATAATTTAACGTAATTTTCACAATTTTTAATTATTATTTTTTATAGTGCATGTATATTTTGTGTTATTTGCATGTTATTGATGATGATACTTTGATAGATAAATAATTAGATAATGTTACATATAGCTTGTAGAAAATAAAGGAAAAACAAAGTAATAAATGTATGTTGTTAGCTGTTTCTATTTATTGTAGATGTATTTTATTAATTTAATATCTTTAACAGTATTAAATTTCTTATGTATTATAAATTAATGATTAAGGTATATATTTTATTTGTGCAAGTTATTAATATTTTTTTACGTGTTTAATAAGCCATAAAAGTTTGTGGTGTAAAAGAGATATGTTCATAGTAAAATTATATATATAAGTATTATGTCTTTTAAGGAAAATAATATTAAGAAGCAGTCATTGATGCCTTTTTTGTGATAATTACACTTTCAGGTTGTACTTTGTATTTTATTATCTGAATGGACAATAAGGTGGATGTTTCTGAAGTAGAAAATATTTCAATGATCGGATCGTCTGAAATTTTTTATCTGCCTGAGGTCGCAGAGATATCACGGGTGTTAGATTCTACTGGCCTTAGTCCATTAACATCTTCTTTAGATCATACTCTTACTCTTCAAGACGATAAATTATTGTCATCTGAAGTTAACATGGGCATAGAAGACACATGGTATGATCACTTTCGGTTATAAAATTATCTACCACTATATGTAATGATTTATATTGTTGACGTAATCTAAAAATTTTATCGTAGGACTGAAGCAAATAGTTCTACGTCTGACTATGCCATTCCACTTCCACCACCACCTGGTTTAAATGATTTTACAGATGTTGGTGCTGATCCCATCAGTGATAGTGGGACTGGTATAGAGCATGGCCCATTTTTACCTCCTGGTACTCCAGCCCTAAATAATTTGTTTTCAGAAGGTGGAGATTCTCAAGATGATTCTCCAATGGGTAAGCATACATGTTATTTTATTTTTAAATAGATGTGATTATTGAATTTGAGAAATAATATTTTATTCGTATTTTATTTATTTTGATAGAAGACGTAGTTTTACGTGCTGGAGTATGTGGACTTCGTAATCTTGGTAACACTTGTTTTATGGCTGCTGGTTTGCAATGTTTAACTGCAACCCCACCTGTCCTGCGACATTTTTTAGACCTGCAGCAAAAAGGAGAAAAACTGCCTCCTCCTGGATCACTGATGGCACATTTTAGTGTACTACTTGGCAAAATGTGGTCTGGCAGATACAGCGTACTCAGGCCTACTGAGTTCAAACAAACTTTAGGGGCATATCACTCGCAATTCAAAGATTATAGACAGGTAAACTTGTATAATTCTTTGGAAATTATTTAGTTATTAGTCAAGAATTTGAATAATTAGTGAAAATAATAACAATCAACAGCATGATTGTCAAGAATTTCTCGCGCTTTTATTGGATTCTTTACATGAACAAATGAATACAGCAAAGTATACAAAAAACTGTCAGACTCCATCATCTACAACCACTGCCAATTCAATTAACTCAATCGAAAATTCAAATGGAAAAACTGTGTCCTCAGTTACTGCCAATAGTAATTCCAACTGTAATACAGATTTGTTAGAAATGTATGACTGTTTACCATCACCGGAATGTCCAAATAGTCCAAATGTCACAATGGCGGGTTCACCAAGAGGTAATACTTTATATTATAATAGTTGTAACATTTTAAGATGATTTCCTAAACAATTGTAATAGAAAGATACTTCATTTATTAGATTTAGGTTCACCGATAGGTGAAATAGATAGTATTATGAATTCGCCACGAGGATCACCATTGAACGATGGTGACGAGGATGAAGAAACACTTGATTCTGATGAAGTCATTGAAGAGAAAACGAATACTTTTATTCATAATAAAGTTGATGATAAGGGAAGCGAAGTTTCGCCTTCTTTAAGGCTAGATACTTTAATCGAGTTATCAAAAAATGTTCCAAAGTATCATGGTCTCTATGATATTCATAAAGAAGCAAAAACTAGTAATGCAAACTTCTTAGTGACACAGCAAGAATGTAACAATGAGATTCATTATGATTCCCAAAAATTTCCGAAAGAAAATGTCCGCAGAATGCCTTTGGACAATTCGAATCTGATGGAGAATCATGATTTTGACAATAAAAGTATTAGTGTCAAAAGAATAAAAGAGGTCAACGTTCAAAAGGTCAGTTGCGGTATAGATTATGCATCGAGTGGTTCTGACATAGAGTACGACAACGGTTTAGAGAAATGCAATGTAAAACGTATGAGGCTTGATGACCAAGAAAAGAATCATAAACGCGATGGCCAAGGAAGTATTACTTCTCAGTGCACAAGGATTTCACAGAATTATGGAAATGGCGCTATAGCGGCACAAGATGAAATTGAGGCAGATAAACATTGGGCAAAGCATTTAAGGTCTAATAGGAGTATTATTGTCGATACTTTTCAGGGACAATTTAAAAGCAAGGTGAGATCGATTGCATTCTGTATATTTTATATTTTTATGGAGACTGTACGTTGGGGTAACAATTTATCATTGGTTTTTACCGTAAAATGTCTCCTAAATTAACATTCAGCAGCTGTACCTTCTTGTTTCGAGAAGTACAAGAATCAGGTCTCATTCTGCTGAAACATACTGATTTTAAAACATACATAGTTTATAGTATTACAACAAAGGACTAAAATTTATGTTTCCATGTATTGTTTCAGGTTGTTTGTGCGGTCTGTAAGCACGTTTCAGTCACATATGAGCCTTTTATGTATTTATCAGTGCCGTTACCTCATGCAATGGAGAGGCAATTAAACGTTACTTATGTTCCTGCGAATGGCGACCAACCAATAAGGTGCGTTGTTTCATTAAACAAACAATCGCGCATTGGGAAATTAAAAGAAGAATTATTAAAAATACTTGGCAAAGAAAACATTGCAATAGCAAACATTGCACTTGCTGAAGTTTTAGAAAATCATATATCAAAGATTTTGGTAAGCATAAAAAACTTTGTCACGTATGTGATAGTCGATTCTTTAGCAATGCACGTTTTCAGTTCAATCGTTATTATTTAAAAAGTAGTTTGTACGTGTTTAGTTTGTTAACTCGTTATGGTCTTATATAGCTAGAACACTAATTTATAAATGTGTAGCGTATAATGGTAATTAAATCAATTAGTTTTCCAGTACATCTAATGTAATTTTAAGTACATTATTCTTTGTTTTTAGTAGGAATAGAATTAAATTTTATTTCATTTGACATCAAAAACACGGTGCGTGGGTTGTAATTTTGATACAAAACAGAACAGTTATGGAGGGTGAAGAAGGCGACTTATCGAGTAGTCTCGGTAATCGTTGATACTGCCCTCCGAGAATAAATATTATGGAAGAACACTCTCGTAGCGCAAAGTTTAGTTACGGGGCTACATTCCATCATACAGATTCAATATTTTGTTCCTGCACGTTTCTAGTTTTTAACTTCAGTTTTCTTGTTCGTTTGTTTGTTATATTGGCCCAGCGTGGCCATCATTATTCGACTATATTATTTTACCCTTGCACCGTAGGTATTTAGAATTATGTATCTTGCTTGCTGTAGCTTATCGCACTAGACGGAAATATCACAGTTGGATTGTACACCAAGGTTTTAAATTTAAGGATGACAATACACTCTTGAGACACATCAATGATACGAATCGATCTATATACGCCTTTGAACTGACGGAACCTCCTGACGCATACACTTCAGTGCCAGACGGTGGTGGAGATCGCGTAATGGAAACTGATAACTCTCAAAAATGTACAACTACAGGAGAAGAAATCCCATGTATGATTTGTCTTGAGGAGTTGGATGGAGATTTAAAGAGACACAGTGGGAACAGTTGCAACTTTGTTATGTGTGATACTTGTATCGAGGTAAATTTCTGCCCGCAATGCTTAACACATTGCGGACTAGTTATTTTATTGTTACTTATATTCAATTCAATTGTTGAATTATTAAGTCTTTGTTTAAAGTATTTACTGTTCATATGCTACTATTTGAATAATTAAAACCCAATGATGAAAACGGCAGCTTCAATCTAGCGGGAGGGGTGTACAAGCGAGGTACATTGTTACCACTGTTTCACCTCGGGAAGGTCTGAGATTAAATCATTAACGTTCTAGCCGGACGGTACCATAATGGTACGTACGGGAACCAGAAATAGCTTTGCGTTATCAATTAGCCCAGGAAACTTCGTTCGAAGTAGAGGCGTTTTGGAACGGAAAGATGGAAACCCGTATGATTCGCTATTTGAGTACAATCCGCAAGCCAGACAACATGTGTTCTGGAACTCAATTCAGACTAATCTGAGGCTGCTGTATACTGAGGGTACTAAATTATGTATTATTGTGTTTAATTTCATTAGTTACTTCTTGCACTGATATTTTTTATTTGTTCATTAAACATTAATACTTTAACACTTTCGTTGCTGGTAATACATATGTTGTATTTTGTCAGCTGTTTCCATAATGCTGTTGACGCAACTGTTGCATTTTTGTTTATAGAATTATCCGATGCTGTTACTAATTGATATTTGATACCATCTCTGGTGAAAGCTAGCTACAAAAGTGTTGAAACGTAAAATTTTTTCCTGTATATAATACTATAAATCATTTTACATTTAATTCAACAGAACTACTTCAAGAATAAAACGGAACCTCAAATGTGTCCAGGGTGTTCAACGTACATGACTGCATCGTCCTTCGTTAAAATAGATCAAACAGGTCGACCTGCAATTAGGATTTTAAATGTTCCATTGGTATTACGACACGATACCACTAACGAAACGACGAATAATCGTAAAGGAACAAAACTTTTTGGTTTTCCGCATTTAGTAAAATTACCTTCGAGAGTAAACGCTACGGATTTATACGATATTGTAAAAAGAAATGTACCGCAAGAAGGAAATTATACGCTTCATTTTGTTACGGGGCAGGTAAGATTACAAATTATATTTTTTCGCGTGTTAATTATTAAATAGTTGTGAAATGAAGAAATTTTTTTGTAGGGCCACCATTGTTCTCGTTGTATATATACTGCACATTGTACGGGTTGTAACGTACCCGAATCGGGCATGGTGATCTTGCATAACGGTGATACTTTAGCTGTGCGTTACACGGAACACGTTCCTAAGATCGCGCCTCCAATTGATCACATCAGCGTCAGTAAACAGAGACCTCATCATCCTCTGTCTTTGTACGACTGTCTTCAGGCATTTAGTCAAAGGTAAATGTTATTATTATTTACAATACGTTATTAAAAATTTTATAAGTAACTTGTAAATAATGCTTGGATTTATATCTACATGTATATATAAATATATACATACATACGTTTTTAGCGAAACGTTAGATGAACATAATCCTTGGTTTTGTCCAAAGTGCGAACGAAATCAGTGTGCTACAAAAACACTCACGGTTCATAGATATCCCAAGTTCCTTATAGTATATTTGAAACGGTACGTCAATCTCTAATTATATAATTAAAATTAAAAAATTACATTCTTTTTAATGAAAATGTAACAGTGTTATTTTATATAAATTACAGATTTGTGTTTTATGAGTGTGCAAGCATGAAATTAGACGATAAAGTAACATTCCCTTTGGTTGGTCTGAGCGTGGGTCAGCACTTGTACGATTTGTATGCGTGCGTTTGTCATTTTGGAGGTACATATCACTTTATTGATAAAAGTTATAAATGAGAGCAATACAAAGAAAAGTTCCTTTATAGCATTTATGAATATTGTAGGAGTATCAGCTGGACACTACACGGCGTACGCGAAAAATCCTCGCACCGACGTGTGGTATTACTACAATGATGAAATTACAAGCAGACAAAAACCTCAGGACGAAGATTTTAGCAACGCTTATATACTTTTTTACAGTCGGCAAGGGACCAATTTAAAACCGTGTAATATATAACCAGTACTGAAACAAAGAAGCTGGCGAACAGGTGATAGTGACCCAGAAAGATCGAGAAAGGGAATAAGGTGTGGGGAGTTAATGAAGAGATTTTCACAGTGTTGTGTTTGTATGTTCGAACTGCGTCAAACTGAATGGGGAACTGCTCACAAATCTCATCTATTTTTCTTAATGATCCGCTCATGGTCTATCTCAGCGTCCCTCTTTCTTCCTTATATTTTTTGAATCCTTTCTATTTTTTGAATTTCTAATAAACGTTCTGTAGACGATGCAGCGTGCGTGGTACGCGCGTGTAAATGAGGAATGTGCGGAAATCCCATGTTTCGAGTTCGAGTCAAAACGGGTCGAGTCGAGCAAAGTTGAACGAATTCGGATGAATATTGAGGGCATATAAATCCTTGAGTACATTGATTTTCGTTCGGGTGAAATCAGGTTGGCTCAAGCAAATTCTCGCAATTCTGAATTTGATTAATAAAACAACGATATTGATTCCTTAATTTTTACATACGATGTTTACAAATATATAAATTTTTATGTTTGAAAATTGCAAACTTTATAAATCGTTTACTCGATCTGATAGCTCGAGTCCACAACATATTGGATTATCCGTACAGTCCTAAATTCGTTGACTGTCAAATATTATTACAAGTAAGCCATGCGTTAAATGGTTTTGTAAGGGAGATATTCTTCCGTAAATTACACGACGTTCAATGTGAAAACAACAGCTGTGTGTGGTACAGTTAATAATCTGGAAAGCGTTTAAATGTATTTATACCAGATAGTACGTAAACGTACGTCAAGTTTGTACAGTAGGTGATTAAACGTAGATTTCAAGATTTTGAACAGACGTAATTTATTAGCGGATAAAATCGAACGTTATGACTAGAAGACACTTAAGAATATGATCGTTAACGATGAAGTGTAACTATATTTACTGTAACATCAGTTTGTTTTTACCCCGAACGGATACAAGACTGCTAAAGATGTTTGTAATCTGCATGTACACTGTAGCAAAAGGAAAAACGTTGTATTTGCAGATTATTTATTAAATTAGTTTTGTTGTAATTTTATTACAAGATATTCGTTTTACTTGTTAAATACGTTCGTATTCACACGCATACACACGAACACACGCATGCATTATAGTACATGATCATCAATACCCGTTGCCTGAGTGCTATTTATGGCCTGATAACTATATTATGTATCTTTGTCGTACCAACTATTGTAAAAATTGTTGTTGTAAAACAAACTGTTTCAATGTTTCCGTTAAGACGATTAATTAGCAAAAAGAAAAGTAACTGTACTGTACTATATTTGTATTCATTTGAATCACATTATTTTTTGTTTTCTAATTAGCTAATCATAATTGTAATACGTTATTGACTCTTGATATCGTTTGAAGAAAGAAAAAAAAGTTCTAAGTATGTCGTTGCAAATAAAAAAAAGAAAAACATTGAATTTCTTTTAACTGTTTAAATACTTGGTAAAATTGTGTTTCAATTTACAGCCCATACCGGATAAGAAGTGATGATTATCCTAATCGCTATTCAGAAGAGTATAAGTGTAACATGTTTTTTTTTTTATAGCCGTAGAAATTTGATTCGGGAAAGTGAAACTTGTATGTATATATGTAGGTACAAAGATCGGAGATATGCAAAATTGAAGGAAACTAAGGCCACCGATAGGGTTAACGATTAGGTACATTAAATATATGTAAAAGACTATCTTTGGTATGTACATTAAAAACCTTATCGATAAATGTTTTTCACGATAAATATTCGTATGTAACAATCAAAAACGTTTACTCGATGGTGTCAAAAATACGCCATTAATAATTATCGATAGAGCGGTCTCGGAATATCCTAGATTTTTTAACGATAACCACAAATAATGGTGTGTTATTGATGTTAGAATATATTTTTCCCGAAATTTCTTTCGACCGTTTCTTCTAACCTAACAAAACGACTACGATTTTCTTTTATATCTTCTCGTTTCAACAATACGAGCATATCATTCGTACGTGTTAACACGATTTGTCCTGTTCTCGACTATTTTCATCTACCTAAACGCCCTCTTTTTGTTCTATCGTTGTAAAAATGTCCATTCCTCAATGTAAAGACACTGTAAACCATACCACTGCTCCAGGATGCACCAAACCTCCGATTTCGCAATTTATTGTTCGAGTTTCGCCGTTCAAAACAAATAGTGCATCGCTCGATGGACTGACCATGTATTTACCAAATATGCCGCTCTGTACGATTGGTCGGTTTGGGTTTCCCCATTTTGTTAAATTAGGCGGGGTAGCTTTACCTACTCCTGTTATCATTTCCACTTTACCTACATAAAAAATAAGAACTTAGTCATTCAATTTTCTCTAAAAATTGCTAACACCAAATTTCAGGTATTATCTTACCAGTGGATAGATCAAGAAACAGGATGTCTTCTTTATCGATCGATGACGCGTAAATATCATATCCATGCGTCGTTTGTGACGGATAAAGTGCAATATCACTAATGTTCAACGTGGTTTTTACGTCGAACGCGAATTTCAGTCCTTCAGCTATAAAAAGAAAATTTACAGTGGTTATCACGGTTAATTTGTTTGATTTGTACTTTTCTTTTTTCTAAAAAAGTCTATCTTTCAGGATGGTAATTTGTACAAAAGGTCATCCACAATTACCTGATATTTCTTGTACAACAAGAGTTACACCGGTGTCTTGTTTGTCCAGGGTGACGAGATGTCGAGAGTCCGGTGAAATCGTTGGCCTTCCTAAAAGATTCGGTTTGTGGACGAGAACAGTATCAGTGAGATAATCCAACAACAACTGACCCGTTGGTCGGTTAGTAATTGGTTCCTGGCATTCAATTATTACGAACCCGTCTGAAAGACAATATAAATAAATTTATGACAGATTTCTCAAGATTTATTGATTTTTGAAAATAGCTACTCACAAAGTACGGAAAATTGAACATTTGCCGGAACACAATCGTAAGAACTCAAATCAGCGCTACGCGTGTATTTCATGTTCTTCAGATCGAGTTTATACATGTTACGCTGATTCGTGTGACTCACGTAGCCATATTTGAACATACTGTCAATATCCTGTAAGAGAAATTTAATTTAATTCACATCAGCCATTTATAATAAAAATGCAAATCTTTCTTCCATCTCTACTTTTGTATAAAATATCTAAATTTATTGCTGACCACTACCTTTATAAACAAGATACTAATAATTAACTGAAGAATGAATCTCAATATTCATTGAATAAAAAACTTACTTGTGGTTCGGGGATGTAAATATTCTGAATGATATCGAACTGTGCATCAATGGGTTCAGGTCGAATGGCTCGATGCTTTTTCTTCTGGGAAGCGTCCTCGATTACTTGCACCGTTTTGACACCAATATTTTCCTCGTTTCTCCAATTAAGCACCCACACTTGATCCAAGGAAGGTACGTACCAAAGTTGAACAGGATTTTTATCCGTGGGCACCACCTGCCATAAAGTGTCATTAACTTTGGAAATTTATGATAATTTGCAATAACGTTTACTCACATCAACTATAACCATTTGCACTTCGCTGATAACAAGTATCCGATCTTTTTCTGGTTGACTGGCGTACACATAGCGATTTGCAACGTTGATTGCACGTCCCCAGGAACAAGGAACATTTTTAACTCCACATACATACTCCTGTAAGTTTCATAATAAATGAAAAGAAGTGTAAATTTTCTTCGAAAATTTAGATTTTAGTAATATAGATTGCTGTTTAAAATGATTAGGAAAGGAGAAACTTTTAGAATGAGAATTTCGAATTACAGTGGATATTTGCCGTGAAGAAAGTTATAGCGCATATGAGGCGTAACAATGTGTAGATACAACGCGTTGATAACTCGTTGGCTGAATAATATATGGCGACGTAACACGTCAGTGAAGCACCATTTAAATAGAAACAACGGAAGTTCGCACTTCAAACTTATTACCTGAGTGCCAGGAATAACATCCGTGGATCGAATCTCGTGTCTCGGTCTACAAGTGGAAGGTTCGTAGACTAAAATGCCCCACTCGTGGAAAGAGAAAAACCTGCGTTCTTCGTTTTCAGTGGCTAAAATAACAGTGGTTACTTTAAGTTAAAAACTTGTAACAGGTTTCGAATATCGATCATTATACTTACTGGGTGTAGGTTGCTCTTGAACAACCAAACTGCTTATGTCTCTGGTCACGCCACCGACGCTGCTAGCTTGACACATGTAAGCTCCCGTATCAGCATAATCCACGTTCTTGATGATGAGTTTAGTACCGTTCCCGATGAGATCGTACTTGTCTGTTTGATCGTGATTCAATGGTTCGTCGTTTTTCAACCACTGTACCCTCGGTAGAGGTTCACCGGTTACGTGACATCTTATACTAGCTTCGTCTTTCAGATGTTTTGCTTGGAATTGCGGCGTTACTTTTACCTCCGGAATAGCTACGAGAATTAGAGGCAAAGTATACTATCTTGTAACACCATGCTGCTAATTTGCAGTACACTTTTAAGCTCAAAATAAGTTGACGTGCAATTCAAAAATTTCTCTTCAACTTCGGATACTCAGATTTAAGCCCTACGCTTATAGCGAGTGCTTCGAGTATACGGGTACTCGGTTAATAAAAGTTTTAATCGAAACTTCAAGACGGCTTACTGTGAATGGTTAACACGTGCGTTTGAACGACGTCTTGATTTCTGACCGCGTGGCAGGTGTAATTTCCGGCGTGTATCAGCTGCACCTTCGTCAAGTAGAGACTGCCGTCGTTGAAGACTCGAATCTGTCGAAAGAAGATGGTGCTCGTAGATCATTGTTAAAGTACGAAGCGAATAAATCGTTTTTTAAATAGCACCTCAGGCTCGTTTAAGGTCTCCAAATCGGCTTCGTTGCGTCGCCACACTAATGGAGGTGGCGGTGTGCCGGTGACGTCGCACTTGATTTCAACGTTATCGCCCACCCTCGCAGAAATGTGATTCACCTCCAGAGACTTATCGAGAGACACGACCGAGACACCTACAAACGATGCATCGGTTTAACTCGTTTCGCCGCGAAACTCCTTCGTATTTATCGCTGTACTAATGGGAAATCAAGTATTCCTAAAGACACTCACTGTAAAGTTTGCTGAACGCCATATAAAATTCGTTTACGTTCAGCTTCCCGTCCCCGTCCGTATCGTCGTAATTGATCATGTGACCCAAATTGCAGCCTTTACATAACTCTTCCAAATCCTCGTTCTCCGCTACCTAAAATTTCATGTGTGCCGTATGCGGACAAGGATTATCAGACATTAACAGTGAAAAAAAAACTACCTGCTCTAATTCCTCGCGTTCCAGGTTTCCATTATTGTTTTGATCGTAGTGAGAAAACATTATGCTGACGAGGTATTCTTTACTATGGTTGTCCTGAGCCATCAGCCTCGCATGATTGTACAGTAGTAGATTATCCTATAAAAAATGAATTGTAAATTCGATACGTAGTTTCTTTGGGCAAAAGTATGATTCGTAATTATTTTAGGTATCTGTGTTTAATCTTCTGATGGCGTAAGGATTTTAATTTAGAAACTTTTTATTTGATTTTAGTATAATTTTCTGTATTTGTAGATATTGCTTATGAACTGTCGCTTAAAACTGCCACGTTTTAGCTCGACTATATTTTAGCCGAAGAGTAGGTCTGGAACATGACTGACCTGGTTCTGTGTTCGAGGGTCGCGCCGCAGGTTATGCATTGTTAAAATTGATGGCACCGGTGGTAATTAATTTAGATAGACTCATTAAGTTTCGCACTGATTGCTTTAAAGTTTCATAAAATCAAAGTCGCTTATTTAATTGATACATTGAATGCGTTGGGGGTCATAAATAATTTTAATCCTTGAAATAATCGGATCAATCAGCGTTCAGACGTATCGAATGCGAACGGTGCATTGATTAAAATTAAGCACTCGACTATGCAAATAGACTTTGGCACGCTGGAATTCTGCAACTTTAGTGTGAAATTTTTTCTGATTCTGAAATTTTCGAATTCGGAAAATTTGGAAATATTCAATTTGAAATTCTGGAACTTCGGAATTTTAAATCTTCTGAAGTCTTGAACTCTGAAATTTGAGAATTCAGAAATTGTAGAATTTTGGAAATTATGAAAATTATGGAAAATCTGAAAGTTTAAGAAATGAAATATAAAAGTTACATCAAAGAAATGTACTACTTGCATAAGGAAGCTTGCAATGAAGTGGCCTATTCCTTTGATTTACATTATTATACCGTAAGTTGCATTACGTCTACTTTGCCACTGTAATTTTTGTACTCTCAAGGAATGAAATTTCTCCGAGTAAACATAACCGGCTTCCTTCGCCATCTTCCCTAGGGATACCGCGTTCCACATAATACGTGCACACCTTGAATAAGCAATAAAAGTTAGCATACCTTCATTATTTCGTATTCTTGATTCGTGCATTCTTTTGTGTCGGTATCATTTTTCTGCGGCACTAAGTTGTCCTTCAAACTGCCCTTCTTCCGGTTCCTGAACCTCGGATAAGAAATCGTTTTCGCTGTTTTTGATGATCCGTCCATGTGCAATGTTCTTCGAACGTGTGCATTCTCGATGTCTGTAAAAGATAAAAAGCCTGGAATTAACGCTTCGAAGCGTTTAATTTATTCAAACGTGTAAAACAACGATCAGGTAATGATAGAGGTAATTGGAGAGCAAAATAGCAGAAATACTTTTCTGAACGTTAAATTTGTATCGTTGGAATCAATCTCCTGGGATTACGTTCTCGATTAGATTTGCGATTAAATTCACGACCTTCGCATGTTTATTCTTGCGAAATTATTTTATAAAATTTATTGAATTCAACCTTGAGTTTCGATCGAAAATCGAGTAATGTAGTGGTAACTTTATGAATTTATAAAGAAATTATTTTAAAACTTTTATTTAATGTTCTTGTTTTTTGAATTTGGTTAATTTAAATTTGTGTCTGTTATAAATGTGACAAGTTAATGATGCCTGTTAATTGATTATTTTTCAATCAAAAGCCTAATAAAATTAGACAATTATATTCCAATGCATTGACTACCACGCGGGTCATCGGTGACGGAGCTACGGATGAATGAGAAGGAAAATGAAGAGATAAAACTACGATTAATTATACGCAAAAGTTTCTTTTTATTAAATCAATTGTCGCTACCAGCTAATAAAATACCTATTTATTTTTAACCGAACAGTAGTCGAATCGTTAGTAATTAAACAGAAATGATTCTGCTTTTACCCGCAATGGCTTTGCCTGCACAAATTTCTGTCTCTACACGGGTATAAACCTAGCAGTTCGTTAGCACTATACCAGAGAGAAAATGTACAAAGGAAAAGACATAATAACAACAACAAGAAGAACAATAATAATAAGAGTAATAACAGAACCGCAAGGAACAATAGTAATTAAAAGGAACAATAGGAAAAAACAGAGCTCGTCCGGTTTCAAAAACCCGGCATAAAACTGCGAGCGATAATTTTTCATACATTTTCAAAATATTCCTTATCATTTCAGTATTTGCTTTGTAATAACGAAACAAGAAAGGTACGAAATAACGGATACGCGATTTCCACGACCCGTTTAATCGACATTAACACGATAAAACAACGCGTTTAAAATTGCATTAAAGCATCACGGATCGCCATCTAAACGACGGAAATTTCTGCATATGTCACTAACGACTTTAAATAAAAAAAGAACTGGGTCATCTTTTTTTTCTTCTTAATGCGTTCGATTTTTTTTTACCGTGATGTAGACATCTCATCAGTCTGCTTCTGGTCAACGATGATCCAGCGTGGCAGGCAGCTCTATGCAGCTCGCAGTGATTGGCATAAATCTTTCCGTTGCTCGCGCAAACCGGTCGATGCCTTCGCGGGCATTTTCGCGTGCAGACACACAGGGCGACGGTATTGTTCGGCGAGGGTTCGCATTCTCTGCCAACGCCGCAATATTTCTTCACGCAAGGATCAACCGTGGGTGCTGCGGGAAAAATAGCAGAAGAATCATCAGGAATTCGCCACAGGATACCTACATCCTCCACAGTTATCCTTCGGAGAACGGACCCCGTGCTATTATGCTTTTATCGATTTCCAAATTTCTACTCAATGTCCTAAATGAGTTTAAAAATTTATTTCTGTTTTTACAAACTTTTATACTTTTTTACACTTGCTAGATTATTAAAATTTTTTAAATTTCCACTAAATTCTCAAGAGATTTTGATGAGAGATTTTTCAGGGAGATTTCTTTAGAAATTTAGTAAAAATTTTAGAAATTCTGATAATTTTGCAAGTGTAGAAAAGTGTAGAAGTTTGGCAAAACAGAAGTAAATTTTTGATATACCCAAATTTCCACTTTTTCAAATTCTAAACTCCCAAATTTCCAAATTCTAAATTGTAAACCCCCTAATTCCTAAATCTCCAAATTTCCAAATTCCCAAATTCCAAAATTTCCAAATTTCCAAATTTCCAAATTTCCAAATTTCCAAATTTCCAAATTTCTAAATTTCTAAATTTCCAAATTCCAAAATTTCCAAATTCTCAAATTTCCAAATTTCCAAATTCCAAAATTTCCAAATTCCAAAATTTCCAAATTCCAAAATTTCCAAATTCCAAAATTTCCAAATTCCAAAATTTCCAAATTCCAAAATTTCCAAATTCCAAAATTTCCAAATTCCAAAATTTCCAAATTCCAAAATTTCCAAATTCTCAAATTCCCAAATTCCCCAATTCCAAAATTTCCAAATTTCCAAATTTCCATATTTCCAAATTCCAAAATTTCCAAATTTCCAAATTTCCAAATTTCCAAATTTCCAAATTTCCAAATTTCCAAATTTCCAAATTTCCAAATTTCCAAATTTCCAAATTTCCATATTTCCAAATTCCAAAATTTCCAAATTCCTAAATCTCCAAATTCGAAATCCCCAAATTCCAAGATCTCTAAATTTCCAAATTCTGTGAAAATTAACAAATTTCACGGTCCAAAAATTTGAAAAATTTCAAATTAAAAAATTGCAATACATGTAAATACGAAATCGATGAAGCTTGCAATTATAATTGTTGAGACTCTTTCTTGTGTACATGTTCGGAAAATAAGTTTGATCAACATACAACACGAATGTTGTTTTTATCAAAGAGATACGAATGGTTCATTAAGTAGATCTGATCACGTTTCGATAAAACAGACGCACTGTAAAGGAAGAGTTAATGATCGGACGCGTGGACCAATACACGGTGTAGAGTTGTTTGCATATCATGGGCAAAACGTTTAATTAATATTTGGCTTGTTGAACTGTGTTCTTAAACGATCACCATTAAACGCGTCTGTATTATAATTTGCACGTTCTAACTTGCGAGTACGACACTGCTTATTTTAACAAATAATTGGTCAAGTATTAATGTATATAAATTATATTATTTTTAAATGTATATAAACTTCAGATATATTATTTCGATTGTACTATATTAATGACACTGGCATAATTTTTAAGTTTTACATCATTATGTATAAAAATATCTAAACTTTCTATTATCGATACTGAGCGTCTACTTGCAAATCACTGATCAGCAAATTGCATACATTATCAGAAATTAACAATTTTAGCATAATTGCATGTATCGCAACGAGTTTTCAATGCAGGATATCCATCCACGTTAAGATGAATAATAGGCTCATTGTCAGATATGATTGACGTTGATCAATATTCAAATTCCGCATTTCATACCGAAACATCGCGGATAATTACGTAAATGATAATAGCCGTAATACGTCGTGTGTTTATGTTTGTAGAAACTCAATCATACTCTGATATCTGATATCGGGGTAACTGATTACAATCACTAGCTACGATGCTTCTGCTCGATTTCCACGTGCATTGTAATTCGGACCAATCATGAAAATGGAATTTCGTAAATCTCCATTATAAAATTGAAACAAAGACATGGGTTGGTCAGAGTTTGAAGTACTAAGACCACCATATTAAATGGTGTACAATATACGTATAACTGGGAAATTATATAACCCTTTGCACTCGAAGGTAATTTCACTGTTTTGCAAACAGCAACTTCAAAACTTATTTAAAAAGTTAAATTAATTCTTTGAGGTTATTATTCCTCTACTAATAATTTCCATTATTTTTTTTTCACTATATTTATACATCTCACGTGTCATATTATAGAATCATATCGTGTCATATTATATTTCAAATTATTGTCTAAAATAAAATGGTGACTGAGAGTCACCTCTCGAGCGCAAAGGGTTGTAAAACGCCATTATTTTATAGTAGCTACAATATTACGATTTCGATAAAAGTATGCAATATTGATAGCGTGTAACATGTAAAAAGAAAAATGTACGATAAAAACACGAAACATATTGTATATAAATATTCGAAGAGAAGTTGCGTGTTAATCGCGAAGCACTATGTAACCAAGTTAATATTTTTGGAGACCGTATCGACTAGCAATGTGCGCCATATTTTACGTTGTCGCGGTACTATTAATCTTCGGGCTCATATTGTACGCGATCCTCGGGGTGTACCATCTTGTTTGAGAACGGTATGCAAGATTCAAGAGGAGAGAAGCGTTACGCGAGAGAAAATAAATAAAGTAAAGAAGGGATCCACGATGGTCCCTGTGGGTGTTCAAATTGTCGGTGCGCTGATTATCACCGGTGTGGTGTGCTTCATTCTCAAGATACAATACTTATAAAGCTTCCGTTCCGACGGAGAGTTCTCCATTTCTTTCGTTGGACGAGCCCCGGTTAAAGGTACGGCAAAGATCTCGTTTTCGCCGACGGTTTCGTTTCTTTCTCTTTCATTTTAAATGACCATCGTTTCGGAACGCGAAAGTCCGGGCTCTAAAAGACCCCATTGTACACCGCAAATTATACATTCACCGAACAATGATTTAATTAAAAATATTCAAAGTTGGGGAAACGGAAAAAGACAGCAAGGAACGCATCAAACCCTATTATGCGAAGTATAATGTCGCATCAAACGCGCCTCGAGGAAACACGTTCATTAATTTTTTTCCGCGATGCTGTTGACTTTGCACGATTCACCATCGAAATAACAATTTTCACGAGATCATGACATGCGTAATTTAAATTAAAAGATCGTGTTATCTTTCAATTTTAAATCAATTACGTTGTTTCTATACGAGGTTATTGCGAATGATTGGAAACATAGAAAGTCTGATACAAATTGATAAAATAAAAGCGTTTGTGCACTATTTATGTCATATCCATTTGAAGCTTCGAGTTTTATGAAATATATGAACGTTTCTCCAATATTCTGACATGTGCAAAATGGCAAATAGCTCGTTGGAATAAACGATTATTTAACTTTCAACGCCACAAAACTCAATTTCAAAGTTTTAAAGCTATTTTTATATTTAAAAGGGAAGGCGTAAAGTAAAGATATCGTTTTGTTGCTTTCAAGTGCTATACAGGGTGTCTCACAACTAATGGAGGTCTCTGAAGTGACAGGTAGCTGACGGACCAATCAGAGCGCGATTGCGCGCGCGCAGACGCGAGAGCGACACCTTCGAGTCTAATGGCCGCGAACGTGATCAAGCGTTCTGATTGGTCCGTGTTTTCCCTTAATAATTCAAAAACAAAGCTTCAAATCCCATTTTTGTAAAGGGAAATCTTATTCAGAATCACGTCAGCTATCCCCCATTTCAGGAACCTACACAAGTTGTGAGACACCCTATATAATAGAATAACATTTGGAGTTCAATGGGTAAGAGTGTCATAATTTGCATGAAACTTTAAATTGACACACCACAAGTTATGTAAGAAAATTTTCATGTCATCGAATGATTTAATACGCGTCAAATAATTTCCAGCGGAATTAAACAGTTTCCTTCAGACAAAGAAAACACTGTTTCTTGCTTCGGTAAATCGCGTCCCGCCGTTTCTTTACGCGACAAACGGGAAAATTGATTAAACATTGCTATTTATTGCGAAGTATATAAAACCACCTAGCAGCCACCGTATCGAAAATGTCGATTTGCGGATCGTGTATACGTTAACACTTACTTTCAGGTAGATACGGTTCTTCGGGAAGCGAAGATCGATCCATTAACGGCGACATCGTCATCGAGAGGCTGTTACTCCTGGACAATGAAGCGTCATGGTTTTCGGCCAGCGTGAAGTCTCGATGCCGCCTTGAGTGCTGAAAAGGAATGAAAAATGCATACGTAAGAGCCACACAGGGAACTGGGTTAAAACGCGACGGGGTCAAGAATGAAACTGACGAACCAGTTACTTGGCAGAATCGATGGAAGCCACGATCGACCGTTCAGATTAGGCACGATCGAGCTTGGAAAAAAGCTGCATCGTTAACGAAAATTAGAACAGACCACTTTAGCGATGATTGAGAGTGGGCCATTCTTCCTTTCGTGGAAATACGCAAATTTTCATCGTCCTCTAACGATTTTTCGCTCCGCGTTTCATCCTCTTATTAAAAATGGCTCGATGGAAAGAAACGGAGAGTTATCATCAAACTTTCTTACGAAATTGTTTCTTGTGCGTTTCAGAGTTCTTAGTACGAATTATCATCTTTGTTATAAGAATTAAACTGCTTAAGCTAACAGAAACACGTTTCTGCAGGGAGAATCTCTTCTGTATCAAAGAAATTTAACTTCCGGATGAAACGAATTATTTTTAAAGCTTTATCGCAGGATTTGGACTAAGGACATATAGCTCTAAATTCTCAAATGCAAATTTCTTAATTTACAAAACTTGCAGTTACAAATTTAGGGTAAGGTTTCTCAAGTCGTACCCCCTAAGAAAAAACAACGAGTATTTAGCAAATATGTAAAAACTATATTTGCTATTTGATTCTAGTGTAAATATTGTTTTTATTTATTAGAACAACTCTGAACAATCTTTGTGTTGTCATATAAATTAATGTAGCTGTAGTAGCCATAACACTTCAAATATAGAACAGGTACTTAAGCAACCTTACCCTACAAATCTACAAATTGAGAGGTACAGAATTGACAAGCTGAAAGTTCAGAGAATTATCAAATTCACAAAAAAATTGAAAATCCTCAAAATCACAAATTGAGAAACTGCGGGAATAATTTTCTTTACCAATAACTGGTTTAATACCGTCATTCGAAAGGCAATTTTTTTAAACTATGAGAAATTGTAAAAATATCGTGGACACTGGTTCTGTGTGCGTACAGTAAAGCTTCCTTCTATGATAGAGTATCAATACCAAGAGACAAATGCGTTAGAGAGAAATTGGTTTCAGCATCGAGCGTTCGAATTTGTTCGATTTTTCATGCTGTGGATATAGATAGGATATAGAGTGACTGGTCACAGGCATCGTGGAGGAAAAGCAGGAAGAGAAAACACGAATTGGTCGGGGATCTCAAAGCGATCGTCCGCACGTTGATGCACGCTGGTTCTTCGGAAAGGGTTAATATACGAAGCTGAAATATCAGAGCGACATCGGAAAATATGAGTCGTTTTAGGATCTATTCGGTCCCGCGACCAGGTTATTTCAGCGGGAAATTTATGGGGACACCACGGCGTTCCATATCTCCATTAGTGTCGCCTAAAATTGTTCGTTCACGGAACGGGTGTTTTCAATTACTCCCGGAAATTACCGGCAAGGGAGAACAACTCTTTGAGCGAACTTTAAGAATTAATTTAGATAGCTGGGGGAACTTTGTCTTTAAGAATCGTTAAACTTCAAATAGTCTTGGGACTTTTTTGTAGGCACCATTAGGATTCCGCCGCTGTTTTATAACGGTCTGCGTTTTCTAAATGTATTCGTGGTATGATACTCTTATAATATGTTACAGCTGTTGCAACCGTGTACTGCGGCTTATTAAAAAAAACGAAAAATTTGTCATAAAAATGATTCATGGCAGATTTCTATTCTTTTCCTGAATTGTTCTCGAAAATTTTCCAGGGAAAATGCGTGTCTATTTTTTACATTAATTCGGCAAATTATAATTTTGTTTTAATTACTGTGCTTGTTATTCGTAATTTTAATGAGGAAGAACTGTATCCAATTAAATCATGAAGTTGGAAATTTCATCATTAAAAGTAAACGTATCCATATTGAGTATATACGATAAATGACGATCCTCCATTTGAACTGTGTTTTTTTTATCGAATACAGTATAAAATAATGAAATATCGATGTAATATAATATTTGTAATATAATTATATTGCAAACTGCTAGAATGTACGTATGAGATATTGTGACAATTTCTGTATAATATCAAAATTTCATGTTTCAAATGAAATTCTGCAAACTTAATAAATTTGTTTCAAATTACAGGTCATATTTATAGAACTATTCAACTTTGTCGAATAAAATCAATAAATGTTAACCTTGTCAGGGATCGTGATTTCATATTGTGCAAACTGTTCAAAACTCCTTTATTTATCTTCTATTTGTTTGTATTCGTACCATTCCCTTTCAGTATATGTGTGGTCTCATTAAACCGATCAACGTGGCGTAAACAACCAGTTCGTTTCGGAAAAATCGTGATTTCGTTCGAGACAAGGATACGGTACGTTCGCGCGTTCGATCCAATTATGGCCAGTCGTTTCATTGGTTCTTCCAGTTGTTGTATTAATGCGTGTTATTTCCGATTATCGATTAATGTCGCTGGAACAATAATATCATTCACTGCGGCACAAGTACGCAAATATTTTTTTACAACAAATTTTTTTAATATACGATGAAATCTTGTTATCATTTGAAATTCTTAGTTGCAATATCATTAATGGTATTTTGCCATTAATACAATATTATTAATGGGTTGGTATTACAATGCAATGCTATTACTGATGGGTTGATATAAATGAGATGGTATTGATGAAATCATATCACTAATGTAAGGATATTGTTATATGTCACTAATGGAATATTGTGATAATATTCTATACTGCTGTCAATAATGTAATAGTATTACTAATACGATTACACAATTAACGCAGTGTCATCACTAATGGAATCTTATCACTAACGCAGAGTTATCACTAATAGAATATTATCACTAACACTACGCTATCATTAATATCATGTTATTACTAACGGAATATTATTACTGACACGATACTATCACTAAAGGAATGTTACCACCAACGCAGAGTTATCACTAATAGAATAATACCACTAACGAAATATTACCACTAACGCGATGCTACCATTCACGTCATGTTATCACTAATTCGATGTTATCACTAATGGAATCTTGTCACTAACACATAGTTATCACTAATAGAATATTATCACTAACACTACGCTATCATTAATATCATGTTATTACTAACGGATTACTAACGGAATATTATTAAATGCTATCACTAACGGAATCTTACCACTAACGCAGAGTTATCACTAACAGAATAGTATCACTAACGAAATATTACCACTAACGCGATGCTACCATTCACGTCATGTTATCACTAATTCGATGTTATCACTAATGGAATCTTATCACTAACGCAGAGTTATCACTAATAGAATATTATCACTAACACTACGCTATCATTAATATCATGTTATCACTAACGGAATATTATTAGTAACACGATACTATCACTAACGGAACCTTACCACCAAAGCAGAGTTATCACTAACAGAATATTATCACTAACGCTACGCTATCATTAATATCATGTCATCACTAACGGAATATAATTAGTAACACAATGCTATCACTAACGGAATCTTACCACTAACGCAGAGTTATCACTAACAGAATAATATCACTAATGAAATATTACCACTAACGCGATGCTACCATTCACGTCATGTTATCACTAATTCGATGTTATCACTAATGGAATCTTGTCACTAACACATAGTTATCACTAATAGAATATTATCACTAACACTATGCTATCATTAATATCATGTTATCACTAATAGAATATTATCACTAACACTACGCTATCATTAATATCATGTTATCACTAATAGAATATTATCACTAACACTATGCTATCATTAATATCATGTTATCACTAATAGAATATTATCACTAACACTATGCTATCATTAATATCATGTTATCACTAATAGAATATTATCACTAACACTACGCTATCATTAATATCATGTTATTACTAACGGAATATTATTACTGACACAATACTATCACTAAAGGAATGTTACCACCAACGCAGAGTTATCACTAATAGAATAATACCACTAACGAAATATTACCACTAACGTGATGCTACCATTCACGTCATGTTATCACTAATCCGATGTTATCATTAATGGAATCTTATCACTGACGCATAGTTATCACTAATAGAATATTATCACTAACACTACGCTATCATTAATATCATGTTATCACTAATAGAATATTATCACTAACACTACGCTATCATTAATATCATGTTACCACTAACGGAATATTATTAGTAACACAATGCTACCACTAACGGAACCTTACCACCAACGCAGAGTTATCACTAATAGAATAATACCACTAACGAAATATTACCACTAACGTGATGCTACCATTCACATCACGTTATCACTAATCCGATGTTATCACTAATGGAATCTTATCACTAACGCAGAGTTATCACTAATAGAATATTATCACTAACACTACGCTATCATTAATATCATGTTACCACTAACGGAATATTATTAGTAACACAATGCTACCACTAACGGAACCTTACCACCAACGCAGAGTTATCACTAATAGAATAATATCACTAACGAAATATTACCACTAACGCGATGCTATCACGTCATGTTATCACTAATGCGGCGCTATTACTAACGCAATTTATCATCAATATTACACATCACTAACGGATGTTATCACTGATGTCATCACTAACGCGATATTTCACTATTACGTTGTTATCACTAACACGATGACATCTCTACGATGATAAGCATCACAACACTACGTATCCCTAACTGAACTTTGTCGCTAACATAACGCTATAGACGAGTACCACTAACGTCTATCATTAATGCGATGTATCACTAATCACGTATCACTAATATATCAGTATGCATCACTAATGCGTCATACAATATAATATTCTAATATAAATAAAAAATAGTTTACTTATACGACCAATTTCAAAACTTGCTTCATGTGTGGCCATATGGCGAATCACGAGTGAACTTTCTCGAAATATGAAGCTCGCTGAAATTCTACCTC